TAATAAGAGCATTGTATAGATCAAAATATCAATTAAATATTTATAAATAATGGAAACAGACATGAATGTATCTCCCCTACCATCTGCTATATATAGACTGGGGAATTTATGCTAGTTGAAATATATAATTTGCATCATTATTTTCTTACTAACCGTTTCATCTTTGTCTTTGCCATGCCAACCTAAGGAGATAACTTATATAGGCCTAGGCTGCTGTTCAATTCTATTGTTTACACAATAAAATATGATGAAATGAATGAAAAAGTTTTCATTTTCATACGGCTTTGCAGTTTTTAAACGAACAATTCCATACCTTTTTCATTAATCGCATTCCATATGAAAGAAATTCAACATCCTTTTTATCCTATATTCAAACATTTGTGCTTAAGTTCTTAAAAATGATTTTTTTTCTTTTACTATCGTCAAGATTTGATGACGCAATCGTGGTGACGTGTGCCTTTTATAATTCAACTACCTGTGACGTCTCAGCTTCACAGTCAAGGTTCATAAGCTAATATGACAAATGTATATATTGGCATTTTCATTGCATAACAAAAAAAAGTGCCAAAAGGATTGCATTTTTTTGTTGATACACTTCTAAAGATTTATCTGACGCTGTCAATTGTTTAGTTAGACTAGTTTGTATCTATATTTTAAACTGCGAATTGTTCCGTTGGTAGTTATATACAACACTGTCAACTGTCTTGTTTACAGTAATATATCACGTTGTCAAATGTCTAGTTTTATAGTCATGTTAAACATTGGCAAGGCAAAATTCTAGGTAAAAGTATATATCATAACTTTAATTATCCAGTTTATAGTTCTATATAATCTTGCCATCTATCTTGTTTGTCTACAATTAATTGGAATACCAACCTAAGCAGTCTGAAGCTTGTGTACTTGCTGATGAATTTGTCATCATGCCCCTTATACATTTTTCACATTTGGTTGCAAAGGTGCTGGGGCCGTACTCCAGTCGAGAACAGGGAGTACATGGTTCTATTCCATCCAGGGAGTAATAACCTTTCTTGCAAATTGCTGGAATATAAAACAAAGGTATGCGTTTATAGCGTTTTAAACATATTGTAAAGTCGAATGCTTTAGGGAATACTTAAGAAATCGCAGTGTAAATATCTAATACAAGGTTATTTACCAACACAGTCGATTGTTTGAGTGACACTATATTGATATTGCTTATATCAATTACTAGTAATACGAATACGGGGTAATATAATTATTGTAATAGCTTAAATTAATATCTAAAATGCATTACCATACCATAGTTTTTTTTAAAACATTCTTATTGGTGTTAAAGACTAGAAATAAAACGGAAATGATGGTACTGACGACGACATTCGGTAGAGTTGACAGTTCCATTGGAGGGTGTCGACATTCCCAAGGGGCATGATGAACAAGTCACATGGTCGTCATTGTCGCGGAACATTCCTTTCGGGCAAAGGACACACTTCCTTACCGTAAAATCGTACGTTGATCCCAATGGACACGATGCTGTGAATAACAATATGTATATATGTATATACACACACGTTTTTTTTCCCGAAACATTTATGATGTTTTCATAATATAGTACAATTTGACGTAAATCATACATTTTTTTCAAAAACTATTCAGCAAACGTCGTTTTGCTCATGGAACTGGTTAAAATTATACTTTTGGCAAAATTTTTTGAAACGATAAGTTATTGCCACATTGAGTATAAGTACATATACGTTAATGATCTTTACTGAATTTGGATAGGAATCGTGCCTACCGCATGAAATGGTGGTAAGACGAGGATATCTGCCTGGCTCACACCGTATTCCGAGTTGCCCAAACTGCAAGGAATCAGTATCCAGGGAAGACACAGGAACATCTAATGATCCTGATCTTGCTTTATTCTCTATAATTGACCCTAGGCCTTTAGCAAGAGTATCAAAGCGATGATAAGTATCCAAGCTAGAATTCCCAAGTGTTTTCCATTTGAGCTTTATATCAAATGACAACAGAATGGATGCCTGTTGTGACTGACGTCTTCGTCTGATGTACTGACTACCACGACGTCTACGAGTAGTGCCACAAGTGATGTCCACGTTATGGACATTACAGTCATGTGTGTTAGGACAGATTCCCTGCCATCCAGGATCTGATTGTAATGTCTGCATCTCTTGAATGAAATGTGCCTTGATGGTGTCTTGTGTTTTGTTGTCATTACATGATCCAGAATAGTAGTACACCTCAGCCGGCAAAACGAAATTCGACGGATCTCGCCGAACTGAACAGACAAACAAGGAATTATGTAAATGGTCATATTCCTGCATATCCGTCTCATCGTGACGCTGTCGATAAGATTTAGTTGATAATTTATCTTGACATAAAATGTAGTTCTAAAAACTTATGTTGATATATATTTTTTTAATATGGCTATTAAGTCACCATATAAACACTCGCCAAGGGAATATCTCTGATTCAAAGTTAATTGCTTACATTACCTGAGCAACCAGGAACTGATTCAACAGGGCTCCATTTTCCAGAACTAGTGGAACAAGTGAATTGTCCAGTAAACCTGGCGACACTTCCTCCCCCTGCTGCCGCGGGAATGTCGTAATGGTCGTTACAGTGCAGCATACACTGCCTTCCGTAGGTCCACTTGTCGCAAGTCAGAGCTCCGTGAGCTGGAGCGGCAAGCGAGGGACAATTGTTTTCTGAAGATAAACACAAGACATACACATAAGATTGCACCTTTATAATTTTGAAATAGATACAGTGTTCCAACGTGTAAATTACACGGAATCATACCCCTTTTTTGTTCTTCTAATCCACGGTGGTGATACTAGGGGCTAGAAATGTGAACATCCAAACTAGTCTAAACAACAGTTGAAACAGAAGGGGAGGTGCATAAAACCGCTTGATACAATTGGATTTCAAAAATTACAGATCAACTGCTTCATATCAAATTAATAATGAGCAAAGTGTGTATTAGAACCATGCCACTTCTTAAATATAACTGTGGTCATACAAGGCTACTGCAAACCTCGAGGACTAAAATAACCACCAGCGGAGGGTACCACCCACACTTAAAGATTGCAACTTTATATTTTTGTAAAAGATACCACATGCTAAAGAATGAATAACACTGCCTGATAAAGCTGTTTCGTTTCTCTAGGATTCACTCGATGCTGCTAGGGGCTTCAAAGGTAAAAATCCGAACGGGTTTAAATTTCTGAAAACAAAGTATCTGTTATAATATCTACATTACCAAAATCGTACCTGCTGTCAATATAATTATTTACACTTAATGTTTTCATCGTAAATGTTATAGCATACATTGTAAATGTTATTGTATATGTATAAATATTAATATATTGGGCAAAGAAGTATAAATATTAATACATACATTTCACATGTATACACTGTAAAAATACCGTTACCATTATTATATTATTACATATGTTATACACACAAAGAATATAACTGTTAATATACAATAAATGTCTATTTTAATTATAATTTCAAATTATAAAACCATAACGACGAGTCCAAAACGTTTGCCGGAGGTTTAAAAATACTTTTTTCCCCTTTTATCCCTTACGCAGACAAACGATGTTCAACATGATAATATTAATTGTATATTTCTATCTCGTGCTTGCAATTAAACTTACGTTTACAATAAGGCTTTGGACCATTTCCCCAGTTCCAGTACGTGGACCTTGAATTGGTTGAGTTCCTGTCACAATACATCTGATCATTTCCTATGAGAGGGTAACTTCCACGACATGACAGGTTACAGCTCGATCCGTATATAAAACCTTCGGGACACGTAAGTTTCATGTACGGGTCCACTATAACAGGGGGATCGCACAGCAACTCTGCAATACAAAACAACTTTAAAAGATGTTGTGGCTAATATGTTGTCGGATGCTTATATTTTCAATTAACTCAATAGAACTTCTTAAAGTCAAATATATAAAAATGAAAACTCTTTTGTCGTTATAAAAAAATATATCAGTTATTCATATTGTAAAATAAGGTTATCAGTCCATAAGCCAAAATGCCATAATAAAGTTAGCCCATATATGTTAATCCGGGCGTTACGCAAGGCCTGGTGCCGAGGGATAAAACGTGACGCAAAACAAAGACTTGCAAGTATGATATAAGCAAACTGTACGCAGAATGAATGCAGTGTCAAGGAGTCTATCCAACTAGAAGCAGCACGTATTATTTCAGGTTTAAGGCGTGGAACAAGTCATGATATCTTATATAGAGAATCTGGTTTTATTACACTTAATAGAAGAA